CCTACTCTTGCTAAATACCATGATAACTGCAGATTTGTGTCGTTTGTTTGAATTGTATTTCAGTTGGTAGTACAGCTTGTCGTATCCCTTTCAAACTCCCGATTCGGTCTCTGACATTTTGAGATGCTGAGCTATATACCAGTAACACTGGCACCTGGTGTGCTGTGTGAGGGGGTGTTTGCAGGTCGTTTGGCTTTCTGGGGGCAGGGCTCTGGGTGGACAAGCAGTGCTTTTGCCTTGACCGGTCTCTGTCTCTGCTCCCTCCAGTGTATGGGCACAACGTGAAGAGCAGCAACGACTTCATCGGGAGGATCGTGATCGGGCAGTACTCAACAGGGGCCCCTGAGTCCAACCACTGGCGCCGGATGCTCAATGCGCACCGGACGGCCGTGGAGCAGTGGCACAGCCTGCGGTCCCGGGAGGAGTGCGACCGCGTGTCTCCAGCATCCCTGGAGGTAACATGAGGTGGGGACTAACAGCACCCAGGCCAAGCAGGTGGACAAGGCACATGAATAAACCACCGACCGAACCACCCCACCTCACACCCTACACGCACCCCATGGCAGCTCTGTTGGATTGAAGCGGCTGCCGGCACCCAACCGGCCTCACTGGCCTCTGTGAACCATGTCCCACCGGCTCCCGGCTGTTGCCCTGGGACCACCGGTGTCCCTCCTGGCTGGACCTCTCGCAGCGCACACCCGGCACCGCTTGACTGTTCGTATCCCGCATGGCGGAGCGTGGGCAGGCTGTGCGTGGAGGTGCTGCGGCAAGCACTGAGCGGGTGGAGGAGATGGGAGTTGCCTCCGCTGTCCTTCCAGTCCAAATCCATGGCTCATCCTCTCGGAGATATAAGTACCTGTGTGCTCTCGTTGGTGAACGTGGTAATTAGGCTAGAATATTTTTTTAAGCGGTAGAACCTGTGGTGAAATCGATTCTGACTCCAGTTTTGTCCTTGTGCTAGTTTAACAGAATTAAGCTCCTGTTAGTACGTACATGTGTGTGCTGGGGCACGCGTGCGGCCGTGTGGCCCCGCGTCAAACGGATCCGATGTCATGTCAGCGGTGAGACGTGCCACTCTCGATAGCAGCCTGTGTGCGTCCCGTAGATACAGTGATGATGTAGCAAAGTAAACATTTCCAATAGCATTTGTACTGGGAAAGCCAGCTCATGTCTTTTCAAACGTGTGTTCAGCAAAAGAAACCTGCTCTGGGGACTTTTGCAGTTAAGAAGACCCAAAATACATGATTTCAGTTCTCTCACAGACTGCAGTGGCTCTTTCTGTGTTGTGTGTGTTAACCCAGGTAGTCCTCCAGGTCACCAAGTGAACTTAGCTACGGTCAAGCTGTCCTGTTGGTTGCTTCTGTACATTTTATTTTTTCACAGCATATTGTCTGGTATTGATGTAGATTGTATATTTATTGAAAATAAAATTCTATTTAATTGTGGCACGTAGACTGGGGTGATACTTGTTGGCAGAATTCATCTTTGTGTTGAGCTCCTTTGGTTGTATTTGTGGCACAAGAAAAGCCAAGATGTTGGCTTTTGTCCCCTTATTACTCACTGTGGGTGAACCAGGAGCCATTTGAGAAACTAGGGACCAGATGATGGAGATCGGTGGAGTGAGTGAGCCGTTGGTCTGGATCTGCATGGTTCCCAACCAGACCACATTGACACACTGCAGGGTGGAGGTGTCAGGTTTCTGCACCTGGCTTTGGGTTTTGGTTCTTTGCAGGGGTGGGCCTATATTATTGTTTTTTATTGCCCTCTTTATGAACACTGAGACTGCATAAAAATCTGTACCTTGCTTACAGCCCATTCAAGAAATGGAACAGCAAAGGCATTGCCCAGAAGAGAGCTGGGACTGGCTCGTGACTTTATTGTCTTTCCATGTCTTAATTGTGGAGGAGGAGGGATCTGTTCTGTGTTCAGCAGTGTTTATTTGTGTTGGACTGGAAAGCCTCACAGTGTTACGGATGGTTTGGCTCTGCTGCCACATCAGTGCTGCTGTGATGGAACAGAGGTGTGGAAGGGCCCCGGCTCTGGCTGTATCTGCTCCCTAGGTGACCTGTGAAGTTACTGGGGGTAGCCCATGGCCTCTACCCATGCCCATGGCCCACTCCATGCACCCTGCAGTGCAGAGCCTTCCTGCAGCCACGCTGGTCTTCAGGTTCCAGAGCAATAACCATCCAGAGCTGGCATGTGGTAGGGCAGGCAGCAGCCATCTCCCTCCCTTATATTCATCAAGTGCGGCACAGAATGAAGTTCCATTATCTCCTTACTTTTAATATTTTGGGTTTTAGAAAGAAAACAATACATACATGTGACTATTTCACCTCCATTTGTTGTTTGGCTGCTGCAGTTAGTTGAGTGTTAAAAAGCTTAGTGCTTGTTTGGGCAGACATCTGTGTTGGTCAATATCCTTGCTGCTGTCCAGGATGTCTGTGCTCCAGTGTGAAGGTCTGTGCTGTAACTCCGATACCAGCATTCAGCCAGGGACCTTCTCCAGTTCACATTGCAGTGGGTGTTTTGTTCTCTTCTGCACTCAGAGCAGTGCATGTGAGTTCCCCATGCAACAGCCAAGTCTGATATGGTGACCCTGCCATTGTGGAGGAAGGAATGCGGAGAATGCAAGGAGGCTACAAGAGATGCTGTCTCTGTTCTGTATCTAGAAGCTATGTCTCAGTGGCTCGGGGAGCTTAAAAGTGTGGACACCCTGCTCCCAGGTAGGGCATGGTGTTGGATAGAGGATGTCAGAAAAGAGCCTTGGTGACCTTGTTGCTGAGCCTTCTACCTACTTGCTGTGGCTGGGCACAAATACGGGTAGGAGCTTACCTTGTTGGTGTGGCTGTGCACACAGTCCCCTGGTGAAAAACCTTCCCTTCTTACTGACCACTGCATATGGCTCATGGCTGCTTGGCAGCACAATTGTGTGTATTGGCAGCACAGAGTGGTGGGGACAGTGGTTGCTGCAGGGCTGTCCATGGGCATCCTCTTTCTGAGCATATTGTGGATGGTGGGTTTCAATTCTAACCTGCCCCTCTGCAAGGTGAAACTCTGTCTTGCAGTGAGGTTGATAGCAAATCATCTCTGTTCTCTGGCTTTCTTCTGGTTTGTCTCATCAATGAATCACAGTGGAGAGGGAGCCCATGGGGTGTGCTGGACAAACACACACTGTAGGCGGCCAGTCTCTTCCTGTAACTCAGGCTCAGACAAGGGCCTGTGGTTTCAGCAGTCACTGCCACTGACATTAATGTTCTCCCACATGGTATCTATGGGCAGCAGCAAAAGCTCTGGCATCCATGGAAGCTGATGTGAGACCTGCCACATGCTTTGCTCAAGCGTTGGGGATGAAAGTGAACAGAAGGCACTCTTGCCCCTTAGTCTGTCCTTGGAGCCATGAGGTACCTGTTCCACAGGGAGGGGGGTGTCATGTACATGTGATGCCAAAAATTGGTGAGGGAACCCTGAGGAGAGGTCAGTGAAAGCAGGATGGAAGCACATTGAGGAGCTCCTGACCTGGAGGGCAATCAGAAAACAGCATGAGGCAGGAGAGGAGCAGAAGGGCTGAGTACACGAGCCGTGGCTGTGCTTCTGGGGCTGCATGCAGCAGGTAAAGCACATCTCATGCTTTGTGAAATCAGAAGATAACCCCAAGTGCAGCTGGGGCTGCAGCCAGCTCTGCGTGTGCGACGTGTGTGTACTCTCCCTGCGCTGGGAGCAAAGCTGGTGTCCAGCTGCTGTGCCGGGCATGGGGAGCTCGGTGCTCCCCCTGTGCTGGGGGTCTGCTGCTAGAGACAGCATTGAAGTTACTCTGGGTCTCTGCTCCCTCTTTAAGCATAAACACTTGTGCTTTGGGAGTAGATTAATATGCTCAAAGAGTTTTGTTCCATAGTTTGCTGTTAATTGCTCGTAACACCGGTTTTATCTGGGGATGGCACACAGTGAAGAAGGGAGAAGGCATGCCTTGGTTTCTGATAATCACAATTCCTTCATTTTTAGTGCTCTGATGCATCAGTAGGCTTTTCCTTGAGACGTACAGTTTCAGATGAATGTATGGAACTGCAAATGGGAGGACGGGGAGGAGTTTTCTTAGAAGGTTTTTTACTTAATGCAAAGAAAATTTAATATATGAAAGTTGATTGAATTAGTTACTGTCTCTGGAGTAAGTCTGGATGTTTTACTATACTGAAAGCTTTGTGTCACCCCAAACTGTTTCTAGTTGAATCGTGCCTGTAAAAATGGGTCATCCCAACTGAAGTCCCAGAAAATTCTGAAAACTTTAACCTGTAGCTAAGAATAAAAAGGGAATACCATCGAGTATGTTCCTAAGCAGTTCATTCAATGCTCATTCAAGGTGTAGATTGGAAATGGAGCGGGACCACACAATTTCATAGTATTTTGCCTATACTGTTTCCCTGCCCAGTGTGTTTTAAAAAATCTGGAGTTTATTTTTCCCCCAAAATTGACCACATGAAGGAGACATGGTAGGTCATATAGATGGTTAATAATATGACTGCTGCCTGATGCTGAAGGTTTTCTGCTGTTACAGGACTGCATGGACCTGGCAGACGGGCAGAGTGTGAGTCCCTGAACCAGCCTTGGACCTGCGGCACACCTGGTGGTGCCCTCTTCCAAGATGTTTATTGTGTCAAAGCATTGCCTGTCGCTGGTTATAAATAAATGAAAGCACAAAAAGGGCTAAACCCCACAATTACAGGCCGTGCCAAGCCTGCACAAGGCAGTGCTCCCCTGCAGCCCTGGCACCCTCTCTGCCTGACCCGGGGTGTCCAACTGCCGCAGCTTCCCGTGTCAACGCAGCCCTTGCTTCCAGCTTCTAACCTTGTCTTGTGCTCGATGGGCTGCCAGCCTTGCTCAGCAGGCAGAGGGCATGCTGCTCAGTCACCCCAAGGTGGAGGTCTGCCCCGAGCCCCTCTCTGCTCTGCGCCTGGCCGCTGATGCCCACCAGCATCCCTGCGGTAAGGCAGCCAGCTGGGTAGTGCTCAAGTGGGGACACGTAATCGTGTCTCAGGAAGCAACTGGGGGTAGATCAAGGATTTCCTTGCTCGCTTGCAGCGTGTGACAAAGGTTCTCTGGGAGGAGGCGTGCACCCCATGAGCCAGGCTGGGGCGAAGGTCCGGGCGCAGGTCCCTCGGGGTGGGATGCGATGAGCGCGGCCGGGATCCGGCAGCGCTGGTGGGAGGTCTGTGTCGCCGGGAGAGCCGCTGTTCTGGGGGAGGGAGTAGCACAGCGCCTATATCCAGCTCCGCGCCGGCAGCCTCCCTGGCACAGCTCGGAGGTCCCGGACGGAGTGGTGACCACTGCAGCCGGCTGCCTGCGGGGTTTGGGAGCGCTGTCCTCCCTCCTGGCCATGGGCACCGGGTGGGATGTGTGCGCCCTCCTCTCCACGGCGTTGTTCACTGCCCAGGCTTTCCCTCAGACCAACATAAAGATCAGCCAAGGTGAGTGCAAAGCATTGATTGCGGCTGGGGGTGAAGGTAACCTTAAACTGTGATGCCTTTAGCTGGGGAAGGAGGGTGCGTACCTCCTGCAGGGTCAGCAGCTGGATTCCCGCTTTCTCTGACTGCTCCACAAACCTCTGATTTGCCTTGAAACCAACTTTCTTCACTGTGGGAACATGACAAGAGCAGCCCCAGTCTCTCTCTCCCAAGCTATAGAAGTTGCATCTGGGCTGGCTTTGTTTCTGTTCACAAGAAACTGATCTTTTGCCTTCAGCAACATGTGCTCACGTGGCACGGTGCTGTGGCAGCCCATCAGGACAGGCTGGGGCATCCACTGTGGCTCCCCATTTATTTATTCACACTTACTACATGTGAGAAGTGGGCACAAATACAGGATTCCTCTCATTTCCCTCTTATTTTCTTGAGCTGTTGGTGACTGATAGCCACTGCTGTGCGTCACTGAAGTTTCTTGCAAACTTTTTCATGGGGCTGATGCAAGTGAGAGTCTCTGCTCTTAGTCTGTTCACACCCTGCTTAGATTTATATAGGAATGTGAGCAAAAAGGGACTCCCGGAGTGTCGTTCAGTGACTCTGTGAGAAAAAGGATCGATGCAAGCCTGGGTTTCCTGCCAGACACCTAATCCGTGGGAGCTCGGCCAAAACTAATTAGGGAGGGAAAAACCCTGCAAGATAACCCCTATCTATTAGTGCCGGCTGCAGGAGGGCTGCTGTGGTGTCTGCTGTAGCCTCACAATGCCAAACATACCTGGCAGAAGATTGGAAGCTGTAAAACCAGCTTGGTTTCATTACAGGATTCTAAAAAGCAAAGCCCTCTGTGTGAAGGATGTCACTTCCAATGTGCTTCAACTGGTGTTTAATATTTCACTTGGAAATTTGTAACATGTGCCTAAAGAAACTTCAGAGTGTGAAATATTGCCCAGTTATTAAATGAGCTTCACATCCATCAGTGGATACCATCCCCTGCAGCTCCGTATGCCCCCCCAGGCACACAGAGGCCAAAACCCCATCCCTGATCTGCTTGTTCTGAAGGTCGTCTTTGTCATCTTTGTCATCTCTTAATGAAAGACAAATACTGCAAGTAACATGAAGGTGGGACTTTTTGTCTGTAATGACTATAGTGTCAGGGCTTAAGGATGTGCTCCTAAAAGCCGTGGGTGACCTGAGGTGTCCCAGTGTCACACAATAGTGCTGTCTTAGCCCCTGCTACATGCTCCTGCCCATCAAACCCCTGTTTTATTCTTTATTCTTAAGGTTTATTCAATAAAGAGGGTGTGGGCTGGTTGTTGTGTCAAGGCTGTGGTGGGATGGAGGTCTGGCTCAGCTGGCACTTTGGACTCCCTAGCTGAAGCTGTCCTGGGGGGGGTCTTGGGCCTCCCCTGTTGTCTCATCCATCTGCTATAATCACCTTCTGCCCCAGCAGTGCCAACATGGGGTAAAAGCCATGCTGCTGGCCTTCCCCATGGTCCTGTGCTGGTTAGGCGTGATTCAGTGTTGGTGAGCACCAGGATGCTCGTCCTGGGCCCCAGCTCTGACCATCAGCTGGGGAGCGCTCCCCATCCCACACTCTCAGCATCACCAGCAGAGGGGCTCTGCGGGCAGCTCTGCCCTGGAAATGACCCAGGCCTCCACGCAATGGGGATCTCCTCAGCTCTTCTCCATTGGCATGAACTTCAGACAAGCCTCTTGAGTGTTGATGGACACCCTCCAAGCCCAGCCACTTGCCAAGAGCTGAAGAGGTTCACTTGATTTTTTCAGGTCAGATGGCAGCATTAGCTTATGCATGTGCCAAGGGAGGGTGTCTCAAGACCATGTGTTTCAGTGAGGTGTCTCTTAATGTCTCTAAACTTTGTGCTAAGTCATCAGCTGTTGATGAAACAGAGCTCTTCAATGCTCTACAGCAAGAGGACCATCTGCTGCCAGCACTGATCTGGTCTGCTGTGCTGTCCAAAACACTTTGATGGAGTTGCAAGCCCCCAGGAGTCTCCTTTGCATGGGCATCTCTTGCCAACCTCATCCTAGCACCAGACTTTGTACTTCAAACCTGCAGATCACTGGAGGTGAGGCACCATTGCACCTTGGGATGAAGCTGTTCAGGACAAAGCCTGCTCTTGGCTGGCTGCATCAGTGGGAGTCACACAGTTGGTATTTTATCTTTTCCAGTAGCATCCTGGAATAAAAACAACTTATGATACCAGCTGGGATTTTTGCAATGAATTATTTCTAACTGGAAAGTGGCCACTTGGGGATGTGAAACTTTCTGGCAAAGCAGTGCCAGCTTCTGCAAGAGGTTCACAAGTGATTTTCCTGGTGGTGCTGCAGTGGGTCTCAGCTAGTAAAGAAATGAGGAGGCTCCAGTTTTGTTGGCCCCGATACAAACCCAGAGAGCACAAAACTCTTTCTGGCCCCAAATTCTCATTTTCCAGCTTTTCTGAGTTAGTAACAGCTTCCCGATATGAATCTTCTCCTCATCCGGGTCAGGACACCTATTCTGAGTGTGCTGTATTAAAACATGGCCCTGACATTAAAACTGCTGTACCGTAAATAAGCAAAGGAAGGAAGACCCCAGATAAAGCAGCACCCCCAATTGTTCCTGCAGGTAAAACTGGGAGCAATAGTTCTCCAAAGAGACAGCCAAAGCCTCTGATCCTGACCTAAGAGAAAAGATGCTAATTAAATGCTGACCTCCTGTATTTTCCTTTTTGGTATATTTAACCTTAAATTCCTTCAGGCACCTCTGGTTCACCGAAGCTCATCAAATTAATGCTACCTAATGGGAAGCAGTATGGAATAACAAAGAAGGACTGTCTCCATCTCTGACTCAGTTTCAGCTGCTCTGAACAGAAGGAAGGTGATTTTCCTGGGCCATGGGGGTGCTGATGGAAGTGGCTCGGAGCCAGGCCATCAGGACTCCCACTGCAATTAGCACCTGGGAGCGAACGGCCCCGTTTGCCAGGATGCTGCTGGGTTAAGCCCTGTGAATTTTGCCACCAGACTGCTAGAGGTGAAGAGTTCCTCGAGGAGCTGCAGTCTCTATAATAAATCCTTGTTGCTGGGGGGAGATGGTGGTGCTTGTCTGCCACAGGCACCCGAGGTGCCTTAGGCAGGAGGGAGCAGCAACATGGAGTCACCAGGAGCTGAGACCAGATCCCAGTCCTGTTCTGAATGGGGGGGACATGCTTCATCTGTGATTTGGTGGTAAAGCTACAGCCTCATCCCATGGGTCTGACCCTGTTCCTTGCTCTGCTTTGCTTTTGGTGGGGACAGGGATCCCTAGCCAGTTTCACAGAGGGAGGAGGGTTTGATTCCCAGGGGATCACATCAGCCCTCAGTGTTCCTGGTACTGTTGCTACAGTAGAATAATTTCCATTTCCTAGGGCTGTTCTAAGGGTTTTCCAAACACAAAGAGGTCCATGTATGAATCAGACAGCTGAATCCTGCATTGCCATTGAGCTGGCTGCAGGTTAGCCACCCTCCCCTAAAGCTATTCTGCTCTCCCAGCCTGGTGTGCCTTTTGTTCTTGGCAGCCCATGAGGATGGGAGAGCCCCTCAAGCCCCTCACTGCTCTTGGTGGGTTTGTTGCTGTGGGGTGCAGAGCTGCTGCCAGATACAGATCCTCAACAGGGGGTGGCAAGGGATGCTGAGGTGGGGTGATAGCACCACAGGGCTCTGCAGTCAGCTTGGCCTCTGCCCCTTGCTCAGGAGGTTAAAAAAGGCTCTTTGCATCTGTGTTTGTTGCCTGGGGACTGCGTGTGACTGAAATATGGAATTATCACCCAGATCTGTCAGCACTAGCGCAGGAAAGGGTTCAGCACAGGGAATGCTCCCACCACTGCTTTGAATTCACCTCCTGCCTCCTCTTCCCCATGCTGATGCTGCCCGCACTGTTCCCACATCCCATGCTGCTGCTGGCAGGGTTTTGCTCTCTGGACCCTCAGGGAAAGCCATTCCCCAGCACCCGAGGTCCTGTAGCACCACCCTGACCTCTCCAGGCTTGAGCCTGTTACCTGCTTGGATAATTTCATGGCATCTGACGTCTGCCGTCGCCCCCTGCTCCCCCTGCCCTGCCTGCCTTACTTCGGCAGCAGCACTGACCCTGGACCAGGACCCCATGGGGATGCAGGAACTAACTGGGGGAGCTGGCAGTTCCCCAAGGCTCAAACACCAGCAGCTGAGAGAGTTAAGTCACTGTGACACGAGATTTGGGGGTTAGTGCTGCGTGGTGTGGTGTGTGTGTGCTGCATCCTTCCTGCTCGACGAGGGGAGCATGACTAGGAGGAGGTCAGAGGGATGTGTTAACAGCACTGCAGTGTTTACACAGCGGCAACTGCAAAGGCTCCAGAAATGTGTCCTGCCCCTGAATGGCCTCTTTTTGGGTGACTTCCCCGCTGTGCTGAAAGGTGGTGAGGGAGGAGGATCAGCTCCACGGGCTCCAGCACTTATCTGGTGGTGGGAGGCAGATAGGCCGGCACCGCTCCTGGCGGCAGGCTCCTCACCCAGCTATTTATGGGGCTGAAAATGAACACGTGTGTGCGTGCACGGCTGTGTCCGGGCCCAGGGACACAGGGGATGGTGAGGGGGTTGCTCAAGGGAGGAGGTGCAAGGGGGCCTTGCAGGAGGGCAGATTGCAGCCATAACCCTACAGCCTCTGGCTATCAGCTCCCATCACAACACCGAGGCTCCGGTAGTGCCTGGTAGAGGTGACAGGAGCCCTTATCTGGGTTTCCCCAGCAGCAAATATCAGTGCCTCTATTTCGAGCACTCTCTGTCTAAACCGATGTCAAACTGGCTTGAAGTGCTCGTCCTGATTTAGGCAGATGCTAAAACTGAGAAACCCATTTCATAAAATGTGGGTCGGCTTTTGCAAACTTCTGCATGGCTTCTGCAACAGCTGGTTTCTCCATGCATGTGTTTGGTAGTTGTTTGCCCTGGGTGAGGGGGAGCCAGGCTGGGAACTGCTGCCTTTGTTGCCTGCTTGGTTGCCCGGCCATGCTGCTTCACCATCAGCTGCCAGATGTCCTCTGCTCTGCCCCCAGCCATGCCGGAGCCTGTCCATGCCTACTCCTGCCCGCTCTTCTGGACAGAGTATGAGGGCCATTGCTACCGGTACTTCCCCATCAACAAGACCTGGGCTGAAGCCGACCTCTATTGTGCCGAGTTCTCCATTGGCATCAGATCAGCCAAGCTGACCTCCATCCACAGGTGAGGGGTGCAGAAATGTGTCATCCCACCCTGGCACAGCCTGGGGAAGAAGGAAAATAGGGACAAAGTCCCATGCCCACAGTACATCCTCTGGGCCAGCTGCAGGGTCATGTCCCAGCCCAGCATCCCTCTGCAGCAGCAACTGGGTCAACTCTCATGCACTGGGCACACTAAGGCAATGTAAAAAATGCCTTTTCCTGGCCTGGCAGGGAAACTGATGTATTATTCCCTATATTTAGCCAAACCTGTAGGTTTTTACTCTTGATAAAGGAAAGAAATACAACATGATTATACAGGCTTTTTCCTCTATTCCCTCTCCCCTAGCTCTTCCGCACACTACACACCTCTTGCACAGACGCAGGAAAGCAATCAGCAGCAAATAGATGAGGGGAACCCATTTGGCCATGCCACAGGGTGAACGCTTAGGGACATAACTGGCCATTTGCCTGACACACTCCCTCAGTGGCTGTGCATTGCTCTGTTTTCCAGCTGGGAAGAAAACGTCTTCGTGTATGACCTGGTGAACAGCCGTGTGCCGGGAATCCCCACCGACATCTGGACAGGACTCAATGACCTGAGGCAGGTAAGAGCTCCCTGCAGCCATGTGGGAAATGGTTTGAGAATTTCACTGCCCCATGCTTTCCCCTGGGAAAGCCACTTGGCTTTATTCTTTGTTCCTTAGAGCCCCATTGATCAGGTGGTGGTGTAGGGTCTGTTGTGCAGTACTCGGGGGAAAGTCATATTTTCATCTCCTCTGGTCTGATTTTGAATGAAAAGTGTTACTAGAATTAATAGATTGATAATTAGTGATTATTCACATCATATTTTATGAATGGATTAATGGAAGGCGTATTGTGTTGCTGGTCCAAGAAGAGCAAATGAACTGAAAACATCTCCAATATCAAAAATCACCAAGTTTCATTGCTTTCTTGTGATACCCTGTAGCTTTTCAAAGCTGACATGTTGGAAATATATAGTCTAGTATGCAACAAAGAAAAGTTGAGACCATCAGGAGAACAGCCCCGAGCCAGCAAACGTTTTGTAGATATTGGGAAAGCAACGGAAAAGGAAAAATGAAAGGAACACAGGATTGGGTGGGTGTGTTAAAAAATAAATGTGTTCAATTTCTGGGCTTCCCCTGGTGAGACACGGTGAATCCTGGGGTTTTCCAGCATAAGTTATCAGTTGTAAAATGCAGACAAGCTGCTTGGCCTTTGCTGAGGGGTGGCAGTCTCTTCCCATGGAGAATGGGTGTACATGGGAGTGGGACCCCCACTCTGCAAGCACGGCTCTGCAGTCACGGCTTTCTCTGCTCACCCCGTGCCAGGAGGGTCACTTTGAGTGGACGGACGGCTCCTCCTACGACTACCAGTACTGGGATGGCAGTCAGCCTGACGATGGGATCCACTCCATCCCAGAGGAGGAGGACTGCGTGCAGATCTGGTACCGGCACAGCAGTGGTGAGTGGTGTTGAGGTGCCCAGTATTGAGGGCACCTTAAGTCTCATTTGCATGTCAGTACATTAAACCCACTGCGGCTCATCTATTCTGAAGAGCTTGCTGGTAGGTGAGACCTTGCACTTTAATTTTTTTATTACTATTCTCTTTTCTTTGCAGAGAAGGGACGTGTTTTCTCTTTCACCACGTACACACACACACATATGCTTGCTTTCCCTCTGCCAAGAGCCTAGCTCCCTCTCCGCCCAGAGCCTAGCTCCCCCTCCCGTAGCAGTGGCAATAAGGAGGGGAGCATCATCCACTTGGAAGAATTACCAAATTTAGCCAAAGGTCAAATTTTCCTCTTTCTCCTCCCACACAGGAGGCCCATGGAAACACTCATTCCTTTGCCAGCTTTTCCCTCCCTCCCTCAGGCCAGGGGCATTTCACTGTGCAAAAATCTCTGCTTGTGCAAAAATCCCACTTCCCACCCTCATTGCCAGGGAGACCAGTCAGGTGTATCCAGACCCCTGGACATATGTAAATGCCTGGTCCATGGACACCCTGCTGATGTTCCCTAGGGTACAGAGCTGTTTGCAGCTGCCTCCGCGCTACCATGTTTGTGCCTGGGTCAGGCATTTCTGCCAGCATCCCTAGGACAGGGATGGGAGCAGTGCAAATGGAAGCACATGTAGGAAAACCCTCCTACAATGGCAGGAGGTCCTGGTCCTGAGGGTGGTGCATGGATACCCCCCATGCCTTTTCTGAGCTAACGCCTTGTTTCTTTTGTGGGGTAGCACTGCGCTCCTGGAATGACAACGCCTGCGGCAGAGCCTTCCCTTTCGTCTGCAAGATCCCCTCGCTGGCCCTGGACTGAGGCTGCTGGTGCTGCACAAGCTCCCCTCATTTTGGGTCACCTCTCCAGTGGCACGGAAGAACAGCCAGGACGTGGCACGGGTGGAGAGAGTGTGGAGCTGCTCAGCATCCCCAGCCAGACCCCTGCTGCAATATCCCTCCTGGAGTGCTGTGGGGATGAACCTGATGCTCACCCTCCCCATGGGCAAGCAGTGATGGGAGCTGTGTTAAACAGCAAAGGAGTCCCCAAGCCTGGGCCTGGCTTTGGGTTTCAGATCAACTATTGCAGTGTATTAGCAGAAACCCATGATTTTAGCAATACACCAAACTGTTAGCACCAAAGAGTAGCCATGTGTAGGAAATTATTCTGCCGGTTCACCTGTGAAGAGTGGAGGAAAAGTATTATTTTCTGTTAAGTTATACAAAATGCCTCTCACATGTGTTATTTTTCTCTCCACTAAAATAAACAGCAAACAGCCGGTGGAGGCTCCTCCAGCTTTCTAGTGCTTGAGTAACAGCGACTGCCTGAGATATGGAGTCTTGTGCCAAAGGCCCTGGTTTTACTCTGGTCTGGTCTGTATTAAAAAGGTGTGTTGGGGGAACCAAATGCCTGGGTTTGTTTCATTGACTCTGCTGGTTCTGGGGGACCTGGGCAGCCTGTGAAGAACCCTGTCCTTCACCCGGCCCCATCAACCAGACAGCATCACCACGTGGGGTCACTCAGCACCCCACACCTTCACAACATCCCTGCCTGCAGCAGGTGAGCAGGGTTTGGTCCGGGCTGCTTTGAGCTGTCCAAACGACAAGGCAGGTGGGTGAAGGCTTATGTGCACCAGCTGAGGGCCAGCCTGCCTCACAGACCTTCCCTGGGGGGGAAGAGCTCACAGCTTTTGGTGTGACCCTGTTCCCTAGTGAGATGACAGTCGTTCCCACAGTCACTGCTGATGTCCTGTTCCGTGCTGGCATCACAGAGGTGCTTTTATCTTCCAGGTATATCATGTCTGAGGATTTGTGTGTGGCTGTGCTCGTGGCCCTGGCGTGCTTTGTCTGAGCTACTTAGCAGGGAGGTGGGACCCTGCCCTTACATATGGGTGAATTTGCAGGGCTTCAGTGGTGGTGCCAGAGCACAAGGGAAGGGCAGTGCTGGTGAGACAAAAACATGCTTCTCCTTCAGGGGACGTGGGTGCAAGGGCACTGCTGGACCCAGTCAAGCACAATAAATCCAGTGCTCCCTGCAGAGCCCCTGTGGTGTGACCTCTGGTCCCACACAGCCCCGTGGCACCCAGGTGGCTTTGCAAGAAGCTCTGTGCAGAGGGGGCTGCCTCCACATCTGGCCCTTGCCAGATGTGTCCCTTCTGTCCCTGCTCTGGGAAAGCCTCAGGGTCTCACAGCACCAGAGCAGCCAGGACAAACCTGGGCTCCCTCATCTCAGCCACTGCCTGCAAAGACGAGCAAAGGCAACCTCACAAACTTGTCTGGTCTCCCATGAGGTCACCACCTTAGACACATAGGATTCCAAATCTAAGATTTTCCAGAGCAATTACACTGGATACAATGAGGTAAATAACTGAGGCTCTGCTAGGAGCTCGTGACTGCTTCCTCAGTGCTTCCTCAGCTCAGCTTTCAGCTAAAATAAGTTTCCACTCAGGGAGAAGTGGCACAACTTGGTGGGCATGACAGTGGTGCTGTAAGTGGAATGTGTGTGTTGGAGCAGGTTTCTAGAATAAGGAAATACTGTCACCTCTGATTATGTATTTTTCTATATATAAATATATAAAAGGATAATACCTAGAAATAAAACGGTATTATTTTTAATGGTTTATATATATGCACATTTTCCATATATTTATATGGAAAGTGAACAATTTGTATAGTTTTCAGCCCTAGGCAGGAGACAGCATTGAATGTGGTTTCCTTGAGACTTTTGCTTCATCAGAAGACAATAAATTATATATGGATGATAACAGTATGTAAAGAAACCAACTGTAAAAAGAAGAAGAGTTCTTGTATCTGACCAGGTAACAAAATACTGATGTGTCGGATCTGATCTGTGGCAGAAAAAGGGCTTAAGCAAACATCTTGGTCACTGCTCTAGAGATTGCCCACGGATGGGTCCTGTGCCTGCTGCTGACATGAGAACAAGAGGGTTGGGCATATGCATGGCATGGGACATGTGTCTGATTGACTCCTGGTTCTGAGTGCTGGAGCTGAAGTGTGGTTGAGTCTCTGTGGTGAAGATCAGCCTCATGACAGAGAGCAGACCCAGAAACCCCACAGATCCCCCTGGGGCTCAGCCATGTCCAGAGCCCATCAACTGGACAGGGAAGATTAGGGTGCTGATGGCAGGCTCTACCCTAGGCTGCCTCTCCCCAGTTTCTTTTCCATGTTCCTCCTGTTCCCTGGTTCAGAGGAGCCGGGAGTTCAGCATGGCTGGGGCTCAGTGTGCCTCCAGCCAAAAACTCTTCTTTTTTTCCCTCCAAGTGGCGTGAGATGTTTCAAAAGAAAGGTTAAAACCTTCCCTTGGGAAAGTGTTTGAAGACTTGGGCCCTGCTGGGGCTAAAAATATTGCTAATGGGGAAACCTATGAAAGCTGTCAGCTCCAATTAACATCTTCATTTCCAGGTAAAAAGAACTGAATATGCATGACCCGAAAGTCAGGGCCAAAGTTAACAGGGGCCTTGTTTTGTACCCCAACTCAGTTTTCTTCCCTGACAGCAGGGTCCTTACTTAAAAAAAACAACCCTCTGTCCTTGATAGTGTCTTCTGTTTCACAGGAATCAAATAAAACCCAGAAAACAACAGGAGTTTTCACCTCCTTAATGAACTTCCAGTGGATCTGGTGAGGTCAGTGCTCGATGGAATACAGAACGTGCCCTTTCCCCCAGCATGGATGGTCCCAGACTTTGGGTGGCCAGGAGGAGCCTCTGGCTCTTCAGGCTGAACTTAACCTTATTTTTCTGTGCTGTGTGTCCCGTAACCCCTGACTCCCCTGTTATCCCGAATCTCTCCATCCTGACTTGCCATATGGTACAGACAGTGGGAAACCTGGCAGCGGCAGGGCTCTCCCACAGCTCTCCTGCACATCACTTGCAAGTGACTGGTACCTGAGGGCTCTTTTATATCACGGTTCTTTAGGAGCTGAACATCTTCCTTTGTGGTGCATGAAAGTTGGGGTAAGGGTGGAGAGTGTGTGAGGTAGCCTGGGAGCGAACAAAAGCAATCGCCTATTGGTGACAAACCCCTTTACCCTCCTATACCCCATTTCTAGGTCTATAGAGACAATATTACTGCAGCCCTTGAAGAGAGAGAATGGCCTGGCATGGCAGGCAGGAGAGATGGGCCTGCTTGCACCATCTGCTCTCTGATTCCCCTTTTCCCCTACTGTTATAGTTCTTTACTCCCTGAAATATGCTGCTGTTGTCCAGGGATGGGAGCTGCAAAGAGAAGTGCTGCACTGGCGCTGCTCTGCCCGGGTGCAGGCAGCCTGGTGATGGTTTTCCTGCCCAGTTTCTAATCTTGACAGCTCAGACAGCTGGGCTGAGCTGAACGGTCCTTCCCTCTGTTTATTCAGTATGATTTTTCACCCTGAAATTTGCTGGGAGGCTAAGGCCTGCACAGCTGAACTGTGAGCTCTTCCTAGTGCACCCCCTTCCCCTCTCCCTGGTTTCCCATGGTTTTAATTGCCTGAGTAATGGCGCAGCTCCTGCCCCAGGGCAAGGATGCTGCAGAGCGTTTCCCTTTGACAAGAGAACAAAAATATCTCAGGGCCAAAAAAAGGCTTCCAGCGGCTCAGTGAGAAAATTACAGACATTTACTGGCTGTGGCTGTGAGGTTCATCACCAAATAGAACCCTGAAACACAAAAATGTATGATGAACCATGTTACCTACCTGTGTGATGGTGTTAGCATTGAACCTCACAGCTTCAGCGCATCCCAAATGTGTGTGGCAGGGCACAAAGAAGGCAGGCAGGATTTGGACCTGTGCTGTGCGGGTCCCAGCAGATGTTGGCTTAACCAAGATGTTCCTTCTGTTCTGCGGGAGGGTTTTCCCATCCCACCTCGCACCAGCTGCTCCCTGCTGCTGCCAGGGAATGAGCGAGATGGTGGGAGCCAGCAGGGACAAACCTGCTGGGAAATGCATCTCCTGGGCACGGCTGAGCCCAGCTACC